CCTGAACTCAGACTCCCAAGTCCCTTCATGCTTTCAAAGCCTTTCCCCATTTAGAAAATATTTTATGCCTCCATTTTTTTTTAACCAAAGTGCATTACCTCACACTTTCCCACATTTGTATTCTAGCTTCTTTACCCACTCTCCTAGCCTGTCCAAGTCCTTCTGCAGCCTTCCAACTTCCTCAATACTAATTGCCCCTCAACCTATCTTTGTACTGGCTGTAAACTTAGCAACAATGCCCTTAGTTCTTTTGTCCACATCATTAATGTATAATGTGAACAGTTTACGTCCCAATACTGATCTCTGTATAACTTCACATGTCACCAGCTGCCATCCTGAAAGAGACCCTTTTATCCCTACTCTCTGCCTTCTGCCACTCAGCCAATCACGTATCTATGCCTGCCCCTAACACTTAGGGCTCTTACCTTATTTAGCAGCCTCCTGTGCAGTACCTTGTCAATGGCCTTCCGGAAACCCAAATAGATTGTATCCACTAGTTCTCCTTTGTCTAACTTTCTTGTTACCTCCTCAAAGAATTCTAACAGATTTGTCAGGCATGGCCACCCCGAGAAGCTATGCTGACTCAGCCCTATTTTACCATACACTTCCAAATACTCTGCAATCTTATCATTTATAAGAGACTCTCAAGTCTTACAAATGGCTGAGGTCAGGTTAACCAACTTATAGTCTCCTGTCATTTGCTTCCCTCCCTTCTTAAATAGAGGTTTTACATTAGCCATTTTCTAGTTCTTTGGGACCCTCTCTGACTCCAGTGATTCCTGAAAAGATCATCACCAATACCTCCACAATCTCCTCAGCTATATCCTTCAGAATTCAGGCATGTAATCCAGGTGAATTAGCTAGTTTCAGGCCTTTCAGCTTCCCCAGAACCTTCTCCTTAGTGGTGACTACCACACTCATTTATGTCCCTGACTCTCTTGATGTTCCGGTATTCTGCTAGTGGCTTCCATCATGAAGGCTGATGCAAAGTATCTATTCAGTTTCTCTTCCATTTCTTTGTTCCTCATTACTACTTTTCCAGCAATCCAATGTCCACTCTTGCCTCTCACTTACTTTTTTATATATTTAAAAGGCAGAAGCCCCTCTGTGCTCCTACTGTCTTTGGTCTCCTTACCTACCTTGCTGCACACCCACACCACAGTCCCTGAATGCTGACTAAATCAGAAGACCCCATTTAAAGAATGTGATTGCTTCCTGGAATAAAATACCCAGGTACCCTCCCACCTCTTTGATGTACCACAGTGTCTGCAGCTCAGCCTCCAGCTTAATAACTCTCAGCTGATGTTCCTGCAGCCAATAGCATTCCCTGCTTGTCCTGGATCACTCCTGCATCCAGAAGCTCCCACATTCTGCAACCACTGCATATCAATGGATCTACCATTACTGATGTGTTAATTAATTAGAAATTGCTAATTAATTGATTTACAATTCATATAACCCACACTTTCAAAGGGGTTTAATACTGCCAACAATCTTTACGATACTGGTGAAGCAATACAAAACTTAAACTATGTGTTCCATTAGCAGTGTAAAATAATACCAGTTACTCATTTATCTGTTGCACAAAATTCAAAATCAAATACTGGAGGCTGAAAATAAAGTTGTCAAGAAAAGCATTTCCTTTCCACCCTTCACCACCTCCCACTCAGCACACTTCTTGTGATAAGCCATCTTTTTCTACATGTGAACTAACTTCACACTTTGAACAAGATTTCCAAATATTTTCACTTAGCCTTTGTCTCACTGAGGCTAAGTCTGTCTTGTATTGACCATAAGTCTCTCCTAACCAAATGTATCAAACTTTTTTTTTTTTAATTCATTCACAATATGTGGGCATTGGATTGCCTATCCCTGATTGCAGTTAAGAGTCAAACACAAAGCCATGGTTCTGCAGTCACATGTTGGTCAGTCCACGTAAAGACAACAGATTCCTTCCCTAAAAGACATTAGTGAACCAGCTGGGTTTTTCCAACAATTAATAATGGTTTCATGGTCATTATTAGACTCTTGATTTCAGATTTTCTATCTTGAAGTCAAATTCCACCATCTGTGGGATTCAAACCTGTGTCCCCAGAACATTATCTGGGTCTCTGGAATAATACACTAACAACAATACCATTAAGCCTTCACCTCCCCCTGTTGAACAATGATGAGTCACTTCTATGGTAACTTCTTGCTACAGCAATCAAAGCCTATTCAGGCCAGAGTTTTCAGATGATTGATAGATAACTGCTACTATCAGCAGCTGCCTGTTTAACTAAGCTATATACCTTACTTGAAGTCTATTAGTTCGAGGTCAGAATCTGATTGATTGACTGGTAAATCATTTTCAAGTTCAGTTTTAGACAAAGTCTCACTTTGGACCAAATTCCCAGGCATACTCATTCAGTCTTTGTCTCATTCAAGCTAAGTGTCCCTCACACTGAACTGGCTCCCTTACAGAACTGCCTGACAAAGTCTAAGGACGTTATACCACTGACATTATGACAGCAGAAACTACCAAGATCAAAGAAGGTCTAGTAAAATTCATTTTAAAAAGAAGTTGCAAAGGACCCCCTTTCTGTTTGGATAGATGCTTGATAGTTTTAACAATGGGAGATCAAAGCTCTTTAAATTTGGTTTGCCTTCATTGAGTGCCAATAACCAGCTGACACATGATTAAAATCCCACCTGGGAAGAAATAGTGTGATAAGTTTGATTAACAGCATCTCATTCTCCAATGCAGCACTTTACAGCCTTTTGGACTCAACATTGAGTCCATCAAGTTCAGACCGTGAACTCTATCCTCCATTTTGATATTTTTCTTCCAGAGTCTTTAACTTGCTCTCAGGCCAAGCTGATTTTTATTCTGCATTTAACATCCACTCTGGACCAATACTTTGTTGATTCTCCATAACCATTATTACTTCCTTTGACTTTGATCTCTAATGCCCTCACCCTCTACCATTTAGCTGAGCTTCCCTTTTATTTCACTTGTTCTCTTCCCCCGTTTCTCTACAGCATAAAAGGAATCACATTTCTTTCCTCTTCAGTTCTGAATAAGAGTCATATTGGTCTCAAAAGTTAACCCTATCTCATTCTCCACAAATGCTGCCACTTTCTTCAACACTTTCTGGTTGGTGATCAGTGGCTGGTGGTGTGCTTCAGGGATCAGTACTGGGACTGCAATTATGTCCAATTCACACGGATGATTTAGAGTTGGGGACCAAGTGTAGTGTGTCAAAGTTTGCACGTGACACCAAGATGAGTAATAGAGCAAAGTGTGCAAAGGACATTGAAAGTCTGCAGAGGGATGTAGATAGGTTAAGTGAGTGGGCAAGGGTCTGGCAGATGAAGTACAATGTTGGTAAATGTGAGGTCATCCATTTTGATAGGAATAACGGCAAAATAGGCTGTTATTTAAATAGTGAGAAATTGCAGCATGCTGCTATGCAGAGAGGCCTAGGCGTCCTTGTGCATGAGTCAAAAAAGTTGGTTTGCAGGTGCAACAGTTAATTAAGAAGGCAAATGGAGTATTGTCCTTCATTGCTAGAGGGATGGAGTTTAAAAACAGGGAGGTTATGCTGCAGCTGCATAGGGTGCTGGTGAGGCCACACCTGGAGTACTTGAGAATGGATGTACTGGCACTAGAGGGGGTGCAGAGAAGGTTTACTAGGTTGGCTCTGGAATGGGGGGGGGGGGGTGGTTTGGATTATGAGGAGAGATTGAGTAGGCTGGGGTTATAGAAGAATGAGGGGGGAATCTGACAGAAACGTATAACATTATGAAGGGAGCAGATAAGATAGAAACAGGGAGGTTGTTTCCACTGGTGGGTGAAACTAGCCTCAGGGGGCATAGCCTCAAAATAAGGGAGAGCATATTTAGAACTGAGTTGAGGAGGAATTTCTTCACCCAAAGGGTTGTGAATCTGTGGAATTCCCTGCCCAGTGAAGCAGTTGAGGCTACCTCGGGATATTTGGAATGTTTTAAAGACCAAGATAGACAGACTTTTGAAGGGTAAAGGAATTAAGGGTTATGATGAGCAGGCAGATAAGTGGAGCTGAGTCCATGAAAAGATCAGGCATGATCTTATTGAATGGCAGAGCATGCTAAACAGGCCAGATGGCCTACTCCTGCTCCTATTTCTGATGTTCTTATGTTTTCTGATTTTATTTCAGATTTCCGGCACACGCAGAATTTTGCTTTAATTAACACACTTGTCTATTTGTAATGTCAAGGAGGGTCTGCAGAATGCCACAGTAAGATTAGATGTCCTTGAAGAATATAACAACACCACCTCTCTCTCTCTCATTGTGTAATTCTCTAGTTCAGACCTGATCTCTGTTACATTTTGATATATATAGAGGACAAAATAGAGAAATTTAAGCAAAAAGGAACTTTTATAAGCCATCTCACCAACCTGGAAAAGTACAGCGTGCACTTTAAAAGAGATGGTCTCCAAGAAAAAAAACTAGTTTGCATCAGCAACAGCAGCTTTGTAATTCTAAAACTATCAAAACAGGCAATAACATATACACCAAAGTGTATACTACTTACTCTTTTATCAATTCTGCCTCCACAACTATTTAATTTGCTCTATTCTTGCATGCTAGTGTGTGTGCATGTTATCAGATTCTGGATAGGTTTTACATTTTGAATCAATGTTACACTTTACCTAAATGAGTTTTATAATAAAACAAACTCAAGTCTTTTTGTAAATTAAGAGATTGGTCTTATTTCTTCATACAGCTTTTACATGGCCAAAAACAGACTGAATTGAAAAAAAGTCACACTTTTCTAAAAATCAGAACTGTTATAACCAAATTTGTAGTTAAGACAGACAAACTTATTCACCTTTCCAGACTTGATTGTAACAATATAGACAAGAAAGAGAACAGGTCAAGGCATAGACAAGGAGAGAGCCTCAAGGAGATGCAAGAAATATTGTAGTGTAGTGGGCAATGTTCCTACCTCTAGCCCAGAAGTTCTGGGCTTGAAATCCACCTTATGACCTGACAGCCATGGAAGGTGCTTCATAACATGGTTGACCAGATTGACGATCAATCTGCAAATCCTGCTGATCAACCTACAACAGGTGGTAAAGAGCAGGGGTTTCTGGGTCAGCCAGAACCATCCGGTATCTGCAACAAAACAGCACCTCCACCCCCGAACATTAAAGAGTACCACACATAGATTGTTGCCATTGAGACTGTAACACACATTGTAATCTCTCCAATGAGAGGATACACAGGCACAGAATCAGTGTCAATGTTAAAATGAGTCTCAATGTACACAGGCTGAGAATGAGTGGTAATAGCAATCTCCATGTACAAAGGGAAGAGAATCAGGTTCAATGCACACCACAAGTGCATCAGTTGTATTCCAAAAAGCGATAGACTAGCTCTTGATATACATCAGAGTGAATCAGCCTTGATGTACACAAGGGTAGAATCAGTCTGACGTACACAACAAGAGAACTAGTTCTGGGGAAGGGTCACTGGACCCGAAACGTTAACTCTGTTTTCTCCTCCACAGATGCTGCCAGACCTGCTGAGCTTTTCCAGCAACTTTGTTTTTGTTCCTGATTTACAGCATCCGCAGTTTTTTTGGTTTTTATTAAGGGAACCAGTCATGGTGTACACTGGGAGAAAACCAGTCCCAACACAGAAGGGATATTGCAAGTCTTGATTTACACTGACAGCAATTGAATCAGTTTTGATATACTTAGGGGACATAAATGGCCTTCATATGCACAGTGCTAGAATAAGTCTGGATACCCATAACAAGAGATATACACCAACACAATCAGTACCAATATACGCAAGACTAGATTTAGTCTGGACATTCACAGGGGAGAAAAATAGTCTCAATATACACAGGGTTAGAATCAGTCTGGATGTACAGAGGGTGGAATCAGTCTGGATACACAAGGCATAGAATCAGTCGCGATACACACAGGGTTAGAATCACTCAGGATATACACAGGAATACAAGCAACACGTAATGGTAATAGAATCAGATCCAATAAGCACAGCAAGTGAATCAGTTTTGTAATGCACAAGATCTATTAGACCTCGATATGAAATGGGAGTGAATCAGGCTTGATATGCACAAACATAAAATTCTTTTCAATATACACAGACATTAATCATTGTGCTTGAACCAGTTCCATCATGTACACAGAATATGAACAATTTTAATGTTGAGGGGCGTAGAATCAGCATTTTCATAACAGAAAACAATCAACCTTCCTTCTTTCTCATTGGACACAGAAGAAAGTGAGCTCCATCAAATGATGTTTCACATGTTATCAGGATGCGAGCTTTCATGGATTTCAAATCAGAAATCTTAGATCTTTTGTGGTTTTCCTGATTGTGATTGTTAATTCAACAGCAAAATTAGAATTGTCTCCAAATAACTATCCCAAGTGTTAATTCTTTAGTCCTCTGAAGAATGCAGCACATGCACACCCCCATGGACACATATTCACATATACACACAGCCACACTCAGTCTCTCTCTCTCTCACACACAGACACACACACACACAGACTGAGCTTGCAGCTCTTACAAGTCAACATTTTCAGAATATTTTAGAGATCTGATTTACTTACGAAATTTGGGTTCGATGACAGAATGGATCTTGGTGCTAGATTCCCCTGATTTTGAGAGTGTCCAGGATGGAGTGGAATCGTGCAGAAAGAATTTGCTTGAAGAGGTAGAAAAGGGCACCGTCTGCCAAGTTGGTACATGTGAGACAGTTGGGGTGAGACGGAAAGGTAATGTAGGGGTGAGGGGGGCTGCTGGAGTGGTTGTGGGGAGTAAGGGGCTGCGATGGGCAGTGGTTGAGCGGATTGTACTGTGGGTACTAATCCTGGGGGTGAGCGTCACTGGAGCTCGAGTGCTCACAGCTATAGTACTAAGGAAGCTATTGGTACCAGTGTGCATTGTAGTGGCCTCTGCATTCTTCGGAAATGAGCTTGGCTTTGAGAGGAAGATAGGGTCCTGCCCAATGTGATTGGACTCCAAGTTATCAGAAGGTACATATTCCTTCACCGAACCAACAACAATCCACCTCAGCAGCATCAGACTCAGTCCCAAACCAATGAATCCAATCAGAAGAGGTACAATACAGAGCCAGGTCTGTTGGCGAGGCCACACAATACAGTTACTGCAGTGTAAGCCCCTGGATGGTGCAGAGCCCTCCTGCTCTTCTGCTGGATTCGCACCTTCTGAATCTCCAGAAACAGGAAAAACAGGTGGAGCTGAAGAAATCCCCCCCTCACTCATCCTGTAGCGAATGCGAAGCCCTCAGGTCCACAGACAGACATCAGGAATACATAGCCAGGGATCAAAGAATCCGAAAAAAATAGACAAAACAATTGCATTTAGAAGAAAATGCTGTTTTCTATCAGCAGCAGGTCAGTTGGCCACAGAATATTCATCTACCCCAAATGAAACGTTGGCAGCACTGGGGGAGATGCTGAGTCAGCTACGGCATAACGCACATCTTTCTTTCTGCTGGATCTACAGGGGCTCGCCTCTCCTTGGTTTCCTCCTCACAGACTCTCCGGGGCCACAGCATACCTTCCAGGATTGGCACAAAGCATCTTCAAAGCTTGCTGGAGCTCAGGCATTCCAATACGCAGACACACATACACACATACACACATTCACAAACGCATACAAGCCCCTCTCCTTCTCCATTCGAAGTGAGAAGCATCCGATTCGTGGCCGTCAGGAGCAGCATAATGCACCTGTTAATCTCCAGTCAGTATCCAACCCTTGCCCAGCACTTAAGGACACAAGCCAATCCGGTTGCTGGGAGGAAGTGCTGGTTGCAGTGCAAAAGCAGCAGCATTGCTGCCTGACAGTGCATTGCTGAAAGCTAGCAATAGCCCACAACACAAAAAACCCACTGCCAACAAAGCATCGCTCACAACTACAAGGTCTTTGACGCTGAAAAGAAAACAAAAACGGAAAATAGAAAAATGTCTACAGAGGGAAGGGCAGAGCGAATGAAAAAGAAAAAAAAAAATCACGGGCACCTCCCACTCAGCTAATGCAGAAATGGAGGCAGCTACTGTTCCCAGCATAAATAAATGATCCTTTTCCAATTCCCCCAGGAGTTCCGGGCTGACTGCTTTCAGGCTGTTTTTCATGCAATGCTGCTTTGAGTTAGAGAATGTTAATTGCGTTTCTGGTCAGGGTGAACATTTCAAAGCGTTTTGGTAAAAAAAATAAAAGCTGAGAGTTTGTTTACGTGAAGACTGTTTTGGGGGAGGGGGACAGGAAGAGAGGTGAGCAAATCCTGCATTTACCCTACTGTCATGATCCAAAGACAGGACTCAGTAAGAGAGCTATCATATTGAGCTACACTGTGTATTTGCACCGCATCTCAGAGTCAAGGACATCAAGAAAAGGAACACAGCAGCTTAAAGCTGCGCAGCTCCTGTGTTTAAACACACCAGGGGCATACTGCAGCTCCCTAACCTCCCACAGTACAATCCCAGCTTCAACACCCAAATCATCCATTTCACTCTTCACTTATCATTTAATCTGAAAAACATTGTCTTCATACTGAAACATACAATCAACGTAAGACCACAAATCTCACACTAACCATCTGAGCTATTTCCCTCTGCAGCTTCACATAAAAATTCTGTTGATAATCCACAGAGAATAACAGATACCCTGGAGTGAGTTACACTAGAATGAATTACAATGTGAAGGGTTTATATGTAGAATAACAAATACCCAAGGGTGAGTTACAGACTGGAATGTAGTTGGGGTATGAGTATATACGGAATAACAGACGATTTTTTAATGTAGATCTATTAAGGATTGTGACCTGCAAATTTGGATATAGTACCCTGCATCCAAGTCATTAATATAGATTGCAAATAGTTGGGGCCCAAGGATTGAACCCAGTGGATCCCCACCAGTTATATCTTGCCTAACAAAAAAGACCCATTTATCTTGGCTCTCTGTTGGTTAGCCAACCCCTTATCTGAGCCTCAAACATTTTGACTTGATAAAGGTGTACAAACTGATCAGAGGTATAGAGTAGACAGCCAGAGACTTTTTCCTATGGTGGAGGTAGCTATTACGAGGGGGCACAGTTTTAAAGTGAGTGGAGGTAGATATAGGGGAGACGTCAGAGGTAGGTTCTTTACTCAGAGAGTGGTAGGGGCGTGGAATGCATTGCCAGAGAGGGTAGTGGAGTCGGCCTCATTAGGGGCATTTAAGCAGCTATTAGATAGGCATATGGATGATAGTATAAGGTAGGGGTGGAGGTTAGACAGACCTTAGGATTAGGGCAAAAGTTCAGCACAAGATCGTGGGCCGAAGGGCCTGTACTGTGCTGTACTGTTCTATGTTCTATGTTCTAACACATCAGGGAGGGGGAGAATTATCTGGACACTGTTTCAGGAGACTTATTAACAACCTTGAATTTAGTCAATGGTCACTGACAGGAAAGTGTGACGATGAACAAGGCAGGTAGAGGGTTTGAGGAGGTAGTGCTGAAGGAACCTCAGCCTTTTGAGCTTATTCAACAGGTTTGAGATTCTTGTTTCTTGTGTGAATGACAGTGAGTACTATAGGGAGGATGAGCAAACTGAATATATCAGGGTGGTACAGGGAGCCATTCAAGAGGGGGAAAAAGAGAGATGTAGTTGAAATTGGGGATAGTATAGTCAGAGGAATAGACACTGTTCTCTGTGGCCAGGATCGAGAGTCCCGAAGGCTGTGTCCCTACCTGCTGTTTGACATCAGGATATCTCATCGGGGCTACAGGGGAACTTTGAGTGGGAGGAGAAATATCCAGTTATTGCTTTCCATGGAGGAACTAACAATATCAGAAAAATGAGGAAAGAATTCTACTGGGGGAATATGAATAGCTAGGGGCTAAATAAAAAAAAATCAAAAAGATAATAATCTCTGAATTACTTCCGGAACCACAAGTTAATTGGCACAGGGTCAAAAAGATTAAAGATGTAAATGTGTGGTTCAAATATTGGTGTGGGAGAAATGGGTTCAAATACTTTGGATCTGGGCACCAGTACTGGGGAAGGAGAGAGTTCTTCCAATGGGATGGGTTCCACCAGAATCATGCTGGGACCAGACTCCAGGTAAATTGCATAAGTAGGGCTATGGACAGGGTTTTATCCTAAATAGTGTGGGGCGGGAGTTCAGTTGCATGGAAAATTGGAAAATCAAAATTAAAGAAGAAGGCAGGAGTGCTGTTTAGTGATTGTTACAGAACGGAAAAGGAAGGTACAGAATGTGCAAATGTCATTTCATACCAAGGAATCGTAGAAGAGTAGGGAAATTTGATAATAGAATAAACATAAAGGCTTTGAATCTGAATGTGCAAGTCATTCAGAAGAAAATTAATTAATTAGCAATACAAATTGAGACAAATAGGTACAATTTGGTGGCAAATACTGATAAATGGTTGCAGGGAGACCAGGTTTGGGAATTGAATATCCAAAGGTATTCAGTGTTTCTGAAGAATATGCATGAAGGAAAAAGGGGTGGTGCAGCATTGTTAGTAAAGGATGAGGTCAGTGTTATTGTGAGAAATTATATCAGCAGTGGAGTTGAAGACAGAGAATCAGTCTGGATAGAAATAAGGAAAAGCAAGGGAAAGAGTAATCTACAGGTCTCCAAACAGTAAACCCGTGGTGGGGCACAAAATACTCAGCAATTCCAGGAAATGCTAAGAAAGGTACAGCAATAATCATGGGTGATATTAATGTAGACTGAATTACTCAAATTGGCAAGGGTTCCATCAAGGGAGAGTCTATAGAATGTCAGAGATTGTTTCTTGGAGCAATAAGTCGGGGAACCAACGAGAAAGCAGGCCTTTCTGGATCTGAAGTTGTGTAATAAGGTAGGATTAATTAATGATCTCATAGTAAAGGATCCTCTAGGCAAGAGTAATCATAGCAGGCTGAAATTTCAATTTCAGTTGGATGGCAGGAAACTGGAAACACAGTGGGTTCCCATTGGTTAGAGCACTATTGGAACACTGCATGCAATTCTGGTCTGCCTGCTACAGGAACAATGTTGTGAAACTTGAAAGGGTTCATGAGATTTACAAGGATGTTGTCAGGGTTGGAGGGTTTGAGCTACAGGGAGAAGCTCCCTGGACCATCGGAGGCTGAGGGGTGACCTTACAATTGTTTATAAAATCATGAGGACCATGGATAGAGTAAATAGTTAAGTTCTTTTCCCCAGAGTTTGGGAGTCCAAAACTAGAGGCTTAAAGTGAGAGGGGGAATATTTAAAATGGACCAAAGGGGCAACTTTTTCATGCAGAGGGTGGCGCATGTATGGAATAAACTGCCAGATAAAGTGGTGGAGGCTGGTACAATTACAATATGTACAAGGCATCTGGATGGGTACATGACTAGGAAGGGTTTGGAGGGATACAGGCCAAATGCTGGCAAACAGGATTAGATTCATTTAGGATATCTGGTTGGATTGATAAGTTGGACTGAAGGGTCTGTTTCTGTGCAGTATAGCTCTATGACTCTATGTGGTCTGGAATTTAACAACAGTAATTACATTGACATGAGGACAGATCTGGCCCTAGTGGCCTGGAGCTGATGAGTTGTGGCAGGTGTTTAAGGAGATACTCAATTGCTTCCAACTAAAATATATTCCAGAGGTGGAAAAAATGGTAAGGGGATACAAAGAAGCATCCATGGCTAAGCATGGAAGTTAAAGATTGTATACACACAAAAGATTGGAGACAGATTGTATACAAAGATTCTGTAAAGACAAAAAGTAAGGCATGCTGTATTGAAAAGTTGAGTGGAAGTTTGGGAAACCTTTAAAGATCAACAAAGGGTTACTAAAAATTTATTAAAAGTGACAAAGTTAAAGTATGAAATATCAATGCACACAAAATATGAAAATAGACAGCAGAAGCTTATATAAGTATTTAAAAGGCAAGGAAGCAGCTAAATAAAAGCCAAAACAACTGCAGATGCTGTAAATCAGAGCCAAAAAACAAATTGCTGGAAAAGCTCAGCAGGTCTGGCAGCATCTGTGGAGTGAAATCAGAGTTAACATTTTGAGTCAAGTGACCTTTCCTCAGAACTGATGGTAGCTAGGAAGATGTCGGTTTATATGCAGAAGAAAAATAGGGGTGAGGGTAGTAGGGAGTAAATGAAAGGTGGGGATAGAGCCCAAAGAGAGAGGAGAAAAATTGGACAGACAAGGAGTGGATAACAATCATGCTAGGAGGGTGAATAGCTATTAATGGAGACTGTTAGTGGCTAACAATGGGTTGTGTGTAATAGCAGACTATGGGTAACAACATAGGAGATCTCAAGCCCTAAAGTTATTGAACATGATATTGAGTCTGGAAGGCTGCAGCATCCCAAACGAATTCAATAAAAAAATCTGGAATGAAAAATCTACTGATGACCATGACATCATTGTTGATAGTCAGAGAAAACCCATCTGTTCACTCATATCCTTAAGGGAAGGAAATCTGCCATCTTCACTTGGTCTGGCCTACACATGACTCCAGACCCACAGCAATGTTGTTGACTCTCAATTGCCGTCTGAAAGGACCTAGAAAACCATTCAGTTGTATCAGTCACTTGAAAGTCTCAAAGAAACGAAACCAGATGGATCACCTGGCATCAACCAAGGCACCGGAAAAGACAACAACAGAAACAGCCCTGTCGACCCTGCAAAGGCTTTGT